ACTTGTTCCTCAGCTGGCGTCACAAGGCCTCGACCCCAGAGCCAAGGTCTGTCCCCAACCACAGGTCCGTGGGCAAACCTGCCCTGTGTGGGCTTCCGCGCACCCTGGTGGTTAACACCAACCTTGGAGCCAGACTCCTGGCTCCAAATCCCTGCTCCTCCATTTATCAGCAGTGTGGCTCTGAATACAGCACTGCCTGGTATAGAGTTGTGTGTACATGTCAGCTGTTATTACTCATCTGAGAAGCAAAGGGCGGCTGCTTGCACGACGCTCCTGACCTCTCTGAGATGCTGCTGCTAGTCCATAACCCTGTAGAGCAGGGGTCCTCAAACTACGGCCCGCAGGCCACATGCAAATACAAATACTGTATTTGTTCCCGTTTTGTTTTTTTACTTCAAAATAAGATATGTGCAGCGTGCATAGGAATTTGTTCATAGTTTCTTTTTAAACTATAGTTCGGCCCTCCAACGGTCTGAGGGACAGCGAACTGGCCCCCTGTTTAAAAAGTTTGATGACCCCTGCTGTAGAGTGAGGAGGGCTGGGAAGCACACAGGACTGGCTCCAGAAGACGGGGTTTACGTAAAAACATCAGTTAACAGGTTTCCTGCCTTTTGTATCAATCGAGCCACCCAGCCTAGGTGCCCCGGATGTTGGCCATGAAAACCTCTCCCGACCCTTTTCTCCGCCACCTGAGAACTGGAATTTGTGGACATCCCTGGACAGGATGCCCTTCCTGTACGAGCCCTCCCTGAGGCAGAGCGCTTTACAAAGCATGATCACCTCTGTGACTCCCTCTGATCCTGTATTAAATAGGATCAGACGTGAGCGAGGCGGGGCAGGTATAATCTGTCTTCTTTGATTTACGAGGAAACAAAACTCTCGAGGTGAAGTGCTCAGGTAACTCAGTCATACATACTTGAGACAGCCAGACAGCCTCGGATAAACTCGAGTTCCGACCAGAAGTGCTCACATTCTTGGTCTCGCTCCACCCACCACACCTTCCCCTTCCTCTCCCTTCCCCCTTCTTCTCACCAGCACTCTCTCCCTCTCCTGCTTTTCCATCTGCACTCAGGTCCCTGAAAATGACCTGGCTGGGAGCTGGGGTACAACCAGGCCTGGGGCCAGAACCCCCTCCCCTGATTCTGGCATCTTCCACCGTATGCCAGGCAGAGGCCTGAGGCCTGGCATGTGTAGATGCTTGGCCCAGCGCTGAGCGGAAGTCACTAGGTGTCCCAAGGGTATCCCTGCCCGGGTCATGGGGCCCAGCCTGGTGCCAGACACAGAGCCCTAGAGACTTAGCAACAGGAAAGGAGGAGGAGGATAAGGAGGAGGAGGAGGAGGAGAAGGAGGAGGAGGAGCCAGGGAAAGAGGAAGGGCAGGAATGCTACCCAGCCAGCCCCCAGTGTTGGAACAAACAGTGCTGAGTGCTAATGACTTGTTGTTGTTCATGTCAAAATGCCCAGGTGGCCCCAGTCCCTGCCCCAACTCCCTTTGGTGCCCACAACCCAGGCTCCAGCACACGCTCCCTTCCTGGTATTATTCTGACCCCAGAGGGCACTTCAGGAGGGGAGGTGCCAGGTCATGTGGCCAGGCTGGTCACCATCCAGATCCCAGATCCACAGGCCTTGCCTCAGCCATTTCCTGTCCTGCCCCAGGGGATGAGCAGGAGGGTCAGCGGCTCTGGCCCATCAGAGCCGAGGAGGGCTCTAAAGGCAGCCCTCTCACTTTGCCAAGGAAAGCAGGTGCCCAGAGAGACGAAGAAACTCACACACTGCTTAGAAATGGGAGATCCTACTGAATAACTGCTACCAGCGCTGACCCTCAACGTAGATGTTTGTTTCCTATTTCACGCTAGAGAGCAGGAGGCTCAGAGGTTGCATAACATACCCTGAGAGTAGGTAAAATAAGCATCAGGATTCACACTGTGCCCGTCTGATTCCAAAGCCCATGCTCTTAGCCACGATGCCCTGCCATCTCCATGGCAACTACCCCATGCTTCCCCCACTGTGCCATAGAAGTTGAAATAGCAGAGGTATTCTACTCAGGAATGTTCCATGGGCAAGTAAGCCTGGAGAACACTGGGTAAAACAAATTCAATAGGTTTGTTATCATAGTCCCTCTGGGCACCATGTTGGGGTGTGGGTGCTATTCAGGGGCAGTGGTCAAGTGTGTGGGTTCAGGAGCTGGATGCCTGGGTTCAAACCCTGGTTCTTTTTTTGTTTTGTTTTATTGCTTAAAGTATTACAAAGAGTATTATATATGTCTCCTTTTTTTTTCTCCCCTTGACCCTCCCCTAGCCTCCCATGCCCCCCAGTGTCTTGTGTCCATTGGCTATGCTTGTATGCATGCATACAAGTCCTTCGGTTGATCTCTTACCCCTCCTCCCACCCCCCCCCAACCCTCCCTAGCCTTCCCGCTGTAGTTTGACAGTCTGTTCGATGTTGCTCTGCCTCTGTATCTATTTTTGCTCATCAGTTTATAATGGTCCTTATTATCCATAAATGAGTGAGATCATGTGGTATTTTCTTTCATTTTTCATTGGCTTATTTCACTTAGCATAATGCTCTCCAGTTCCATCCATGCTGTCGCAAAAAAAGAATTCCTTCTTTTTTACAGCAGCATAGTATTCCATCGTGTGAATGTACCAGTTTTCTAATCCATTCATCTGCTGATGGGCACTTATTACCAACTGGTTGTGTGACCCAGGGCTGCTTATTAACCACTCTGTGCTTCAGTTTACTCACCTGCACCTGGGGTTGGTGATAAAAACACCTGTCTGACCCGTCCCCCCCAAAAAATACCTATCCCATAGTTATTATAAGGATCAAATGAGAATAATAGAAAGCACTTGGAGCAGGGCCTGGCTTGTAGTAACTGCTTAGTAAGTGTTAAGTAACTTGATTAATCTTTATTTCAGGTTGGGCACTGGACACCACAAGGAATGTACCTTGTTGACCCTGTCCCTGACCCCATGACCCTGAGTGTCAGCTTAGGGTTCTCAGGGGGAAAGAAGTAGCTGACATGGGTGGAGGTGAAGGTCCTCGCCCACCTCCTCTCATGCTTCACAGGAACTACTCAGGGTGGAAGAGGAGTTGCCAGCTAGCTCCCACGGCACCAGCACCTGACCTGCCTCACCCTCCCTCCCTGTCGCTGAGTGTCAGAGCCCGACTGGCAGTGCAGACAGACACATGGGGACCTGTCATCAGACCAGTTCCATTAGCCCACGGCTAGGGTCTCAGGCCAGGGCTAGTCATGGTGGGACAGGGAGAGGTGGCATGGGGTGGGGTGATGTTTTGGAGTGTCAGTGTTACCATCCACAGCAAGAGAAAACATACCATGAACCTGGACTCTGAAGCCACATTACCCAGGACCAAAGTCCAGCTTTGTCCCTTAGCAGCTGTGCGACTCTGGACCTGTCACTTAGCCTCTCTGTGCCCCTGTTTTCTCATCTCTAAAATGAAATGGTGACATTAGCACCTATCTCACAGGCTGTTGAGCGAGTATTTGAAAAGTGCCTGGGACATAAGTCCTAGATAACTACTAGCCACTACCATTATTTGGACAGGTTGGGTGAAAGCATGTTTTCTGAGTTAGAGCATAGACACACCATCCCCAAAACACTCACTCACAGAGCAGCATCCCAGGCTTCTGGGAGCTCATGTGACCCACCAGAGGTCATCCAGATCTCGTCGCTGCCTCTAGACAGAATGACCCCTCTGCTGGTTCCCAGACACCAAACAATCTCTCCCCGTCATGTTTTCCAAGGAGATGCTCTTCCATTCCATTCCAGTGTCACCTCTGTCAGGGTTGGTAAGTCCTTTCTATAGCTAACCTCCGGCCCTCCTGCTCTAACCTGCTTTTATTTTTCTCTTGTCCTGGTCCAGTAGGAACAGAAAGTGCTCTCTTTAGCCTGCAGGAAGCTGATGGGTTTCTCTTTGCTTTTCTAAGAGGTAGGCAGGGGCTGCACAACGGCCAGCACTGTCCTTCTGGGACTCTGGGCTCTGCTCCCTCACAACACCCACCCTTCACCCTGTGTGTGCATATCCCCTGCCTGGCGCTTGTCCCTCTCTCGTGAGCTCTTCGTGGGCCTCAGGCATCATCCAGAGATTCAAGGTGCAGCGTTATAGGTACCCAGAGTCACAGACACAATGGGCTGAAACGACCCCACCCCATTCCCCAGAGAAGGTCATCAGGAGAGGGTGTGGCAGCCATAAAAATCTAAGTTCCCTCTAATCAACAAGCCCCACTTGCCCCCCTACCTGGCAGGGGAGGGGCCTTGCTTCTGTGCCTTTGACCCCATTTACACTCCAACAGCCCTCACCCCCACCCTTCTGGCCTCCCAGCACACCAGGGGTTGGAGGGGTCAGGAGACAGCCTGGCGGCCTCATCTACCCACTCCCAGACTTTGGGTCCCAGGGGATCCTCCAGTGACCTCATTGTCCTAGCACCTGACCTTCCCCCCACTCTCCACCTTGCCTCTACAAGCTGGGAAAAGGACAGGAAATGCACAAGTAATTATAGCCTGAGAGGGAAAGAGGGAGGGAGTGTTCCAGCCCACTGGCTCCAAGCAGTAGCTACTGCCAGGGACCCGGAAGGGGGGGCGGGGGGGCAGCTAAGCCCAGAAGTGACTGGCTCCCTTGCCTCCTCCAGAGCCCCATCTTGAGCAGGACCAAGGCCAGGGGGCCCCTTATCAGGAAAACCCTGGGAGGCAGGGTTTGGGGGACTGCCACCTAGATTCTCCTCTCAATTCTGATCGCCAGGATGATCCCCTCATGTTGGTGGGCCTCAGTTTTCTCAACTCAGCCTCATGTTTTGGTAAATATAAATGGCGGTTGAGAGAGACAGGAGGAAGCAGGCAGAAGGTGGTGGTCCTTCTATTCGACGGGACTTGCCCATAAGAGATGAGCTCCCCCAAGTCTGTCACCTGCTCCTATTTCCCTCCACGCCTTTACACAAGTGCCCTCCCGGCACCCCCCTCCCCACCCCCCCCCCCACACACACATACAGGTGGGCAGACAAGACACACACTGAATCTCAGGTGAAGCCACTCTATTAAGTCTAGGAGATTGAGGAGAGCTTCTCTGACAATTTGGATCCTGCAACCATTATCCTGCACCCCACCCCCTATGACCCGCTCCTGCTCTCTCCTTCACTTTTGCAGCTCCACAGCTGTTATCCAATGACAAGGGGAACTCCAGTCGCCTCAGATTCTCTAAACTTTTCAGAATCCTTCCCTGAACTCCCCAATGCCAGATGCCTAGCAACGTTCGCATGACCACCTCACCCCAAAATCAAAAAACAGAACTGGTGCAGTTCAGTTGCTCACTAACCGGGAAGGTTGCCACGGTGATATGTGGAGAATAGTAACCAAGTTTACCTCAGCCCTGACTTGACCTGGCCTCCCCGCGCCCCGCCCCCCCCCCCCCCCCCCGCCCCAGGGAGAACACACAGGCACCTAACCCAAGGCACACAGAGGTTATGAATAAATGGCAAATCCCTTGCCTCTTCCCCATGCCTAAATGGGGGCACTTGGGCACCACACACACACACACACACACACACAATGCAGCTGTGTGAGCCACCCACACATACCCATACCGAAGCTAAGCTGCTTGACCAGCTGTCCATCCAGCAGTACCCCCCTCCCTCCCAGAGCAAGCTGGGCCACCACCAGCACGGCTGTGCTCCCTATCCAGACGCTCCAGCCCTGGTCCCTGGCCTGGGCAGGCGATGAGCACTCACCCAGCGAAGCCCCTGGATTCGGCTGGGGCGCTGGTGCTCCAGGAGCAGCCGGTAGGAGCAGCTTCGGGGCAGGTGCATCCTCCTCAGCACCATGTTGAGCAGCGTCCCCTCGGGCACCACGTCTGGTAGGCTTCCCACCTGTGGTGCTCCCAGAGCTGGGCTGTCCTCCACAATCAGGCCCACCTGCCAGCGGCTCTCACCTGGCCAGCCCACCTGTGAGGAGGGGAGGAAGGCGGACAGCCATGGGGCTGGGGCAGCTGGACCAGGACACAACTCCCCCGGCAGCACCGCTTCCTTAGAATCCTCTGGACTGGACAGGCGGCGGTGCTGCAGCCCTGCCAGGAGCTGGGGGAGGGACAGGAAGACCTTCGCTGGGTCTTGTCGGTCTGGCGCACTTAGGGGTCTCCCGCTGGCGGGAGGTAGAGCCTTCCTTCCCGGCCTTCTTTGGACTTCTGCCCCACCCCGCTACCCAAGTCCCTGCAGGGACCTCCACCACCTCCCAGTTTGAAGCTATGGACTCACTGGATCCCCCAGAAATGTAGCCTCAGCTCAAACCCTTCTTCTCCCCTCCTCCCTCCCCCAGGACCAACCCTTTCTCTCCCACCCAAACTCCCCATCTGTCGGCTTCCTCTTCTGCTGCTCTTCGGCCCCGGCCCCACCTTACCCACCTTCATGATCCTTCTCAAGCTCGTCCAGCCCTGCAGGCTCTAGCAGAAGGCTGGGAGGCTCCCCAGCGAGCCCCGTCGGCTCCGATAGGGGGATCCTGGAGGGCTGCGGGCTCTGAGTCCCGGGCGCAGTGACCAGGGCCAGTTCCTAGCTGGACCCACCGCCAGGGCAGCCAGAGGCCGGCTGGGAGGAGAGGCTCCTCTTGGGTGGGTGGAGGGCTGGGGGCCCGCGGGGGGCCTCCCCCCTCGGCGACAAGGAGCCCGAGCCTCCACCTCCGTCCCAGACGAAAGAGCCAGCTGGCACGGGGCACTGAAGCGAGGCTGCAGCTGGCACTGGTCCGGGCGGGAGCTGTCACACCCCCTGTGCTGCCCGCCCCCTTCCCCTCCCGGACAAGCTGAGGGGGCAGGGAGGAGGCTCCGGCCTCACGGTCCGGAGGGAGGGCGTAGGACAGGGGGCGGACACGGGCAGGGGTGGAGACCCGACTCTGGGGTCTGCAGAGCGGGCAAGAGCCCGAGCTCCGAGAAACCCCAGGGGGCAGGAGCGCCCCGGGGTGTGTGGGGGGTGTGCCGGGGCCACTAGGCCCAGGTGACCGGGCAGGGGCGGTGAGTGGCTGCACCGGTCGCCACGTGGCCCGGAGGACAAATGCAAACAAGGAAACCGGGGGAAGGGGGGAGGGGGCGGGAGGAGGTGAGTCATTGTGGCCCCACCCGGGAGGGAAATCCGGGCCGAGGCCGCTTCCCGGCTGGGGCGTTCTGCCTCCTGTTTCGGTTCAGGGTCTCCGACAGCCCGGGGGAGGGATTGGGCTGCTTTCCGGTGGGGAATCCCACTGCCTGGCCTCCCACCGCTGCGCGCCCAGATGCCCACCCCACGCCCCCCTCTCCGCCCTCCGTGCACACGCGGGCGCCGTTGGGGAAGCTGAGGCTGGAGAGGAAGGACTGTGCTTCGAGATGGATGAAGCTATGAAGCTGTGGCTGAGCTTCAAGAAAAGAGGGCGTTTGGGAGGAACACGTCCTCCACTCGCGCTCCCAGGGGGCAGCTGCAGAGCCCCGTGCAGGCTCGCCCCCTCCTTGGGCCTCAGTTTCCACCACCGCGCAGGTGGCCCCGCGCCTCCCTCTCCGCCCCACTCCAGCTTCTGACGCGGCAGAGAGACAGCGACTCCTGCGGCGCCCCGGTAATTGCTCAGCAAGTTAATGAGGGTTTTAGAAAGAGGCGCGCGCCCCGCCCCCGACTTTCTAGGACTCGCTCCCTTTCGGCCCCATCGCTGTCCCTTTGCCTCTGCTGCGGAGCCTGCCTGGACTGGGGAAGCGCTTCTCTAACAATCCGTCCCCTTGCTCTGGGACACCGAGTCCCCATCTGCCACCGCTGACTGTGTTCTTGGAGCTGGGGTGGGGCTGCCAGTTTTCGCTGTGATGATTGTGCATTGGAAAATCTCCCCAGGAGCTCATCAAAATGCAAGTTCCACACACACCCAATTCAGGTTCAGTCCTACTGGTGTGAAATGGGAGATTGGTGTTTGGAATTAGCACCCTCAGGCTCCCTGCTTTGTCCACACTGTGAGAAACCATGGTGGGGTTTGACATGCCCCTCCAGGGAAGGAGGGGGACCTGAGGACCATCTGGACCCAAGCCCCGATCCACCCACCCAAGCCCTGGGAAGCTGGCAGAAGGAAGAACAGCTTGGCTATTGGCAGGAAGGGAGAGCAGGCGGGGTCGGGTGCGCCTGGGGAAGAGTGTTCAGGGGGAGTTAGGTGTGGGGAGTGTTGACGTTTCAGGTTGCTGTGGCCAGTGACCTGGTCTAGAAGCACTTGCAGGGGAGTTTGACCAGAGACGGTCAATGGGGTCAGCCCTTACCTTGGGCAGGTGGAAAAGGAGCTGGGGAATGAGGCAGGACATCTGCTCCTATAGACCTCTCTGCGGGCCACAATAGCCTGTCAGTGCCTGGCACGGGTCCAAGTGCTTCACATGTACAGTATGTAATCTCTGCCATTACCCTTTGAATTACCACTTTGCAGATGGGGAAACTGAGGCTCAAAGGTATTAAGTAACTTTTCGAGGCCACACAGCTAGTAAATAATGGAGCTGGGGCTTGACCTCAGGCTGTCCGACTTCACTGAAACCACACGCTATGCTGTGTTGTATATATGTTATATTCATTCTTCTAATCTGGACTATATGTCTAAGGGAGGAAGCTAAAGGGTACAAATTGAGGAGTGGGGTACAAACGAAAGTCATTCAAATTGGTGAAAATGAAAGTGTCCCAAACCCACTTTCCCTCACCTGCGTTCTCCCTCAACATATCCTTGCCTTGCCTTTCTGTTTTCACGTCTCTTTCTCATTCCCCCTCCCTGAGAAGATGGCCTGCTGATGACCTGTTCACTGGTAGCCAAGGGAGACCATCAAGGTTGGCCCTTCCACTTATCTCATTGTTGTAACTGGCAGCCAAAGCCCCTGGCTCCCACCGAGCCCATGATGGGCAGGTTTCTATGGCTCAGGATTCCTGGGTGGGGGCTGGCCAACAGAATGACAGCTCAGTAGAGATCCGACTGAGGCTGAGGCCTGGAGGGGCAGGGAACTAGGGTAGTGTGCCTGAGGAAGACATCCCAAGCCAGATGGTGAGTCATCTTAGGGACACATGCCAGCCCTGCCCAGACTGGACAGATACATCATAATAATAATAATTAACATGCACAGGCCCTGTACTTGATACTTTATATACATTCGCTGATTTAATCATCACAACAATCCTGAGATAGGTATTATTATTATTACCTCACTCTACGGATGAGGAAGCTGAGACACCAAAAGGTCAAATGCCATGCCCAAGGTGCCATGACTAGGGAGAGGTGGAGCAGTGAGGGATTCTACCGAAGCAGTTAGAGCCCGGGTGCGTGACCACTCGCAGTCCTGCCTCAGCCTGACAGTTCCCGCCAAGGGGCAACGCCCACATCCAGAGGCACTGCCCCCAGGCCTGGGTGCACACAGGCTGCAGAGGTGGCGGAGGAACAGGCAGGGGATGGAGGCTGGAGAGCAGGGCCCCTTGACTCCGTCTACCCATACAGCAAACCTTTTGCCCCATTCTCTCCAGGCAGGTGGCAGGGGACCGCAGAGGCTCCCACGTAATAGTTGAGGAGGGTGAATGGGTAAGGAGGGCTTTTCAGTCCCTGGCTTTGATTCTGGGCCATATTCCTCCCACACAGGCCTTTCTGCTTGTGGAGCCTAAAGCTTCCTGAATCTTCACAGGTCCTTCTCACTAGGCAGGTCTAAAACTCTCTTTCCACCCACCTGCCCCTCCTCTTGCCCTGCCCCTCTCAGCTTCCTACTCCAGGAGCCTCACCACTGCCTAAGCAAGGAACCTTGTTCCCTCCTTCCCCCACATCCAATCAGCCACCCAGCCTGGTGGATTCAACTAATGAATAATCTGTTGCATCCATCCATTATGCCCCCGCCCGCCACACACACACCTGCTCTAGCCCTGTGATGGTCTCTTCCAGCTGTCTTATGTGCAGGTCGCTGTTTGCCATTTTATAGACATCACCTTTTAATCCTCAGAACAATCCCTATTTGCAAATGAGGATACTGGGGTTAGAGAGGGAGAGTAGCTTGCCCAAGCTCACACATTGAATTGGGCGGAGCCCGACTCAGGCAGTCCGACTGCAGAACCCACACACCCTTCCCCACTATTTTGTACTGCCTCCCTGACTACTATGCTCAACATCCTCCCTAGGGAATGCCACAAGAATGTGTAATTCATTCCACAACGTTCACTGTAAGTGCCAGGAACTCTGCTGTACACTGACGATCTAAAACTGAGCAGATACTGGGCTTCAGGACCACAGAGTCTAGTGGAATTTTCTGTTATCACCCTAACACACTCACCTGGTTGGGCCTCTCTACCCAGCACAGTGTCTGGCATAAAGCAGGTGCTTACTGATTATGGGTGGAAATGAAATGAATGGGAACTGTGGGAAGTCATCTGGTGCCTGCCCAGGGCCTACACCCAGGGCAGGGTGGAAGGGATGGGGGGTGGTTTTTCAGTTCATTTTCAGGGCATTTTTTGCCATTTCTCTCCCTCCTTGCTGCTTCTTTGTCTCCTACTCTTTTCTCCTGTGCTGCAGCCTTTGCTCACAGACTCAGCTATGTCATTTGAGGTTGATTGGTGGAAAGGAGAGTGGGAAGTTGGAAGAAGTTTTAACTAACAGGGCTCCAGTGGGCCAGGCCTCCTGCAGAAAGGGCCCGCTTGGAGACCAGAGGGTGTAAGGCCTCTTCCTGGTACCTTGGCCACTGCAGCATCCCTGGGACTCCACCTTGGCCATGGTTGATCGACATGGAGAGGGACTGAGAAGAGAATAGGTACCATCATGTGGGCCCTACCTTAGGGCTCTGGAAGGTTCAAGGTCCTGTGATGCTTGCCCAGGCTGCTTCCCCAAGGGTGATTCCACTTCAATTCCCCCACTTCCTCCCTGCCCATTCCTGGGGTGGGGGCAGAGGCAGGGAGCTGGAACCCTGGTGGGCACTGAGCCAAACCTCCTCAGGACTAGCAGGTCGCTGCCAGTCACTTATGACAGAGGTGGGGCAGGGAGGCAGAGGAGAGCAAGTTAGAAGGAAGTTCATGAGGGCGAGACAGGGCTGGGACCAGTGGGGAGATGACCGAGGCAAGAGCAGGGGCCCCACACTTTCATGGAGGCACATTCTTCTGACTGGTGCTCACACTATCCATGTATGAGAGGGGCGAGGAAGCAGTCAGTGAGCTGGCAGGCCAGTGGTGGTGACTGGGCCGTAGAGGAAGCAGAGGCGGGGAGAGCAGCAGAGACGGCAGGGGCAGGTCTGAAGCTGTGCTAAAAGGAGGGGAACAGGCCTGCCTGCCAGGGAAATTGGGTGATAGATGAATGTGCATAAATCCGTAGCTGAAATCTCCCTCCAGCTGCTACTTTTCAAGGTATGTGTGTTCCAAATACCCAGGAGACACTGCATCTGACCTTGAGTAATCAATGTTCTAAAATGGTGGCTCCAGTCTGGTTAGGGCCACCCTTCCTCAGGCTCGGAGTGTCCTTTTCCCTCACTCCTGCACCATGTCCCAGCTTCTGGTCTGCCTAGCCTTCCCCCAGCTACACCGCTCCCCAGCCCCCACCCACACCACCTCCTCCCTCTTCCGACTTTCCAACATTCCCAGCCTCTCCAAGCCCAGTCTCAAGCCCTCCCATCGTCCAGCCTATCCGGGCAGCCTTTGTTCAGGACTCAGACTGTGCCCGCGTGTTTCAGAGACCAGGCAGTCAGCTGCAGGGGCCTGAGAGAGCCCCAGCCCCAGCCCCAGCTCCGCTCACAGATGCCTGGTTCTGTCTGGATCCAGAGCACTGGCTGAAGAGGGGGCAAGAACGTGGGTAATGAGGCCAGGAAGCCAGGGAGAGAGGCCCCTTCCTAGCATCAGAGCAGCCCCAAATCCTGCCCCGAATCCCACTCAGGAAGTGCTGGGGCCACGGAGGAAACTGAACATTCAAAGACTTCCAGGCACCAGAGCTCCTGCCCATTTCCTCCCTCCAGAGAGGACACTCTGAAAGCCCAGGGAAGGCTGCAAAGACGGGGTCCAGAGCGGGAAGCGGAGAGAGATGGGGTCCAGAGCAGGAAGTGGAAG